GGTTTAGGGTTTAGGGTTCCAGGATCGAGGCTTCAGGGTTCAGGGTCCGGGGTTCAGGGTTTTAGGGTCTACAGAGCGGGGCCTAAACAATGACCAATATTATTTTAGGGGGTTCCTTGTTATAATATTCCAGTATAGTATACCGCCAAACCCTGTTCTAATTATTAAGGTCCCTACATTAGGGTTCACGGTCTAGGGTTCAGAGTTTAGGGTTCAATGTTAATGGGTTAAGGGCAAAGGCACGGGTAAAAGTTGCAGAATTTTTCGTTACGCTCTGCTGGGAATCCCGCAAATCCATTGAAGAGGCCAAGATGATCGTGTTGGGCCACACTCCCTCGCTCAAGACTCTCTCACCTAAAGACCCGGAGCAATGTACCCCTCTCCTTGGTGTGCATTACGCCTTGAACCCTAAACCCTAAACCCAGGCCGGGTTTCGGGTTTAGGGTGCATATAGTTTTTAACATGTTCCCTTCGGGTTGCTTGCGGTAACTATGCTCATACCGCAGTTTACCGCACAACTCTGCTCGAATTCTTGATTTTGCGTTGGTGCCTCACTGTCTGGGAGCTTCGAGATAGAGCCCTCAAGCAGACTTATGCACCCTGCGCTGTGGGATCCTTCTTGAAGTAGCCCTAGATCCAGAACCCTAAAACCGTAAGCCCAAAGCCCTGAACCATAAGCTCTCAACTGCAGCTTGAGCTTTACAAGGGTTTAGGGTAAAGTTATCCCTTGTCGGAAACGCCCAGTTCGAACCATGCCTTTCTCCAACAATTCTCGTTTCCTCTAGTACCTAACCCCGCCCTCCCCAAACAAAAAGCATAAACCCTAAACCCCTCAAGTAGTAGGGGTCTGGGGTTTGGGATTCTGGGGATCACTACAGGAACCTTACACCTTAAACCTTAATTAAACCCAACAAGACAAGGCAAAAACCTACAGCAAAAGCCCTAAGCTCTTCGCCGGGCCCAGGCGGGCGCGCAAACACGGAAGCTGCAGCAGCGATTTTGAAGTCAGAGCCAGTGGACTATGAGCCTTGGACTTTTGGAGAAACGGCTGTTTAAGGTTTCGGGGTTACCTGCAGCCGAAAAGACCTACCTTTTTGGGGTTCCTACTACAGTTCCTTGAAAAGGTAGGTTTTGTTGGGTCACGGGTAGGGCTTAGGGTTCAGTGTCGAGGGTTTAGGGCTTAGGGTGTACACTTTGGTTTTGAGGGTTCGGGATTTGGAGTAGAGGTGCTGAGCTTGCACCTAAACCCTTAAACCCTACCCTCAATGACTTAAAGAGCCCCTAAACCCTGAGCCCCTAAACCCCAAACCCCTAAACCCTAAACCCCTAAACCCTAAACCCCAATACCCTAATACCCTAAACCCTAAACCCCTAAACCCTAAACCCCTAAACCCTAATACCCTAATACCCTAAACCCTAAACAGGACA